CCCACCCCCACCCCTGACCCACCGCACCTTGGCATTCTCGTGGCGAAACCAGCCGCGGTTGTCCGACGCATAGGGCGTCTTCTTGGCTGCGTAAGTCAAGGGTGTAGTGCCTCTGCCATCTCCATAGTGTCCCGCCCTGTTGGGGTCTCTCCATCTCCAGTCGCCGATCTGGTTGGGATCCGCCTTGTTCTCCAGCGCCGCACGGCATGGCCCGGACCCTGCGTCGATGAGGTCCCGCAGAGAGATGCAGTCGGGGTGCACGTGGCGGCTGTTCAGGAGGTACCAGACCTCTTCGTAGCTGGTCGTCATGAAGTGCTCGGAGACTTCGAAGCCGATCCCCTTCTCGAGTTGCTCGACTGGCATCACCTCCACGCGCAGACTGGGCGAATCCAGCTGCTCCACGCGCATACCTGGGAAGACCTCCTCCTCCTCCAAACTTTCGAAGCGGGGCCGCAGCAAAGCCCAGAGCTTGATTTGGGGAGGAAGACAGCCCAAGCGGGCGGCGAGCTCCTTCTTCGCCTCGTGCACCAAGTACTGCGGCTGGTCGCCCAGCTCCCCAAGCTCGAAGGACATGATGTCCACGGCCGTGCCGGAGGAATCTCTGTGCCAGAAGACGAGAGGTCCGCTGGGTCCGGGGCCCAGCCTCCCCCGCCAGAGGTCGAGCTCCTGAAGCCTCCTGAGCCTCTCGCGGCTCTCCGCCGGTTGCCAATCCTGGAGGCTCCTCCTCAAAGCATCATCCAAGAAGGCATCTCCCTGGTTCTGCTTGAGCTCGTGCTCCGGCTGCAGCGCAAGCGCCTCCAGCCCATCGGTCAAGGCCCGCAGCTGCACACGCGCCTCCAAAAGCGATGGCCACGTCGGATCTGCCCGGCCCCATGGCTCCTCGCGTCTCGGTGGATCGAAGGAGTTCGGAATCGTCCTTGCTTCGCCCTCCGGATAGGAATCATGGCGACCAGCGACAAATCCTTTCTGTCCAAGCAGGTTGCGAAGAATGATCACGAGTGCGAAGTAGTCGAGGCGGCGGTCGGCCAGCGGCAGCTCGACTTTCTTGTCGCTGGGGGTCTCGTCGCGGAGATAAAAGCGAACAAAGGAGCTGTAATGGAACTGATCATACAGCTGCCGTAGCACCCGCCACACCCCTCTGAAAGCCAAAGCATAGCTCCCACGGATGTTTGCAGTTTCGGGCAGATCCTGCAATGCCTGCGCTGTGAATCCTGGCCGTCGCGCAGCTGAGCCGAAGTCCGCCAGGTACAACTGGCAGTGGGCTTCGCTCCACAGCAAGTTCTCTGGTGTGATGTCCATGTGACAGAACCCGCACTCGTGCATCCTGTCCAATGCCCAGAGAATGTTGACCGCGGACCCTAGGATGCCTGCCAACCGGATGCTGTTGCAACGATTCTGATTGACGTTCAGCTGAGCACTGTTGCTGTGCGTCCAAAGCTGTCGCAAAGTGCCGTCCATCTTCTGCAAGGCCATTCCCCTTACCTGCACACCACCGATCCATGCCCGGACGTTGCAGAGCCAAGGCACGACGCCCCTGCAATCGTGCAGAGACTGGTGGACCTTCGCTTCCTCTTGCAGCATTTCCTCGCGACGACACACTCGATTCTCATCGTCCACTTCGTTCAGAAGAAGCACGTCGCCGACGTGGAAAGACAACCTGTGGACTCGCGGCAGCTTCACCACCGCATCCGCGCCATTCACCGTGCCTTCCACCCGGTGCACAGTGCCAAAAGTGCCCCAGGCGAAAGCAAGGCCGACATTCAGCTCTTGCCCGGTGCGTACGACCACCACCTTGTCAGGCTTTGGCAAACTTGGATCAGCCGGAAAACCATATGACTGTGCGCGCTTCCTGAATCTTCCTCGCAACCACTCTAAGAGGCAAGATGCCATGGCTGCAGATAGAGGGTGCAGGGCTACAGCTGATGCTACTGAGTGCACATGCAAAGACACCCACTGCATACACCAAGCCACAACACTGCTTTGATCGCAGGAGACGGAACACTGGATGGCTATTCGGGCGCTTTCACATGGATCTGGGTCTCCTATGACCATGAAACCTCACAGGTCAAAGAAAAGGATGCGAACGCATACACCTGACTCAGAGATCCGCCCCGGCATGTCTCGGCATCTTTGCCTCGATCTCGCGACGGAAGATGCGAGGCTTCCTCATCGCCCACGGCACGTCCTGGACAGTGACCGTGTTGCTTTTTCGGGCTGGTGGCTTGAGTGCCGCCGATGCCTTGCGGCGCAAGGCTCGTTCCTGTGGTGGAAGCACCATGCCGAACTGGCACTGCTGCTTCCTATCGCTTTCAGTTCGCCTAGTCTATGCCAGGCATGTGTTGTTCTGCGCCATGTCTACACTGAGTTTGCCATGTCGGCGGAGGCTGGGTCTTGTCAAATCGGTGTGCAAGCTTTCCTTGATGAGGCAACCAGCGTGGCAATCTCGGTGTGTGTAGGTGTGATTTCAGGCATGTCGGCGGGTGGAATTGTTTTGGCCCCGCATGCACACATGCAATACTCTTGGTGGTGGCAGCTTGTTGACCTTTCTGGCTCGCTGACCCAACTCTGCGTCTCAACATAAGTGGCTGGGCCGGCTCGGTTCCCGTAAGATGTGACTGGACGGCAAATCCCAAATCAACCGGCACCAATCTTTGGTAGCCCAAATCCAGGCATACACCTTATTTGCGACTAGTCTCTGGCAGCTGCTCAGCATCTCCCACAGATCAGCCTCTACGTTAAATTCTATACAAACAAATCTTTTCACCCTGAAATGACCTGCACGTCGGGGCGGTTGTTGTCGACACTATATCCGTACGGTTGAGGGCATCGTGCACTGCTACGGACAAGGAGGTTTGCTAAGCTTGCTATGATGCAATGCTGCGGACAGCAGACCGACGGGTGAAGCGCGGCGAACTCGTCCGGACAGCCTCGTTAGCCCCGGCGAGTTTGCACGCTGGCAAGCATCAAGCTTTGCTGAATTCACGAAATGCCGCAGGCCTGTGGCATGCACAGAGGTTGCGACTTACCTGCAGGAAGCTATTCAGCTCCACAGCAAGCCGCGAACTGCCTGCCAAAATCTCATCGGGCGCTGAGCCGGACGGACTTCTGGACAATGCTTGGCCATCAACTCCTCACGGTTTCAAGCACCATGTGCTGCTGCAGACTCACGTGTCTGCCACGCGAAGCCGCAGACGGTACAAGTACAGTAGGTAGATTCATCTTGATCCCTCGGCGAGCCTTTGTCTTTTTCGCATGAACAGCATGGAAAAAGGCGGTGACGTCCTTGCCGTTGGAAGCCATCAAGATCGCATCTCCTGCAGCATCTCAGATCTGCTCAGCCTCACTGACAAAAGAAATGCCACAGCCTCTTAGTAGTCTGAGGCTGTCCTGCTGGATGAAGGCTTTCGCGTACGTACTGCGTACAGTCGCGGCGCACTCCATCGATCTCCAGTATGATCTTCTCCTTCGAGACCAGGTCTGGGTCAATGGCCTGCATGAATGGGACATGTCTCAGCTCTTGCGCAAGGTGCTAAGGGCAGACACTCTTCTACAGTACAACCCTTGGCCTTCAGGATTTGCCAGGTCACCGTCTCCAGCTTCTCTTTCAATGACTGGCTAGATCCTGCATAGCTGCAAAGCTATCGCCCACACGCGCATATCAGGATTGGTTCATGGTTCATTTTGGTTTGTTCCCAAGTCGAGCCTCCAATCTGCAGGATGCGGCGGAGGTGCACTGCTCGCAAGAGGAGCAGCAGGAACTGGCAGTCCCTGTAGAGCTGCGTATTCGCTTCGCTGCTGTGGAGGAAGGGAAGCCAAGCATCCACCGACTCGAGCAAAAAGTCCAGGCGCTCACGTTGCACGTTGGTGCAGCGCTCCCGCACAGCGTGCGCATTCCGCTTGAACTCCTCGTTGGCCGGCTCCTCGATGAAGAGCAGCGCGTCCATGACCCGCATCAGCAACGTTTGGGCACCCGTGGTGTTGGGGAAATTCCGAGACACCTCCGGCCACAGCTTTGGGGGAATGCGGGTCGGGGTAATCCACTCGCGGAAGGCCTCAATGACCTTCGGCAGGTATTCTTCTAAGATCGTCAAGAGTTCCTTCGTCTTTTCAGGGATCCAAACCTGCTGAGCAGCGGCGATGGACAAAAGATATCCGGTCTTCCCATCAGCAATGTCTGAACGATGGATCAGGGCCCCAGAGTGCAGCTTCAGCTTCAGGTAAGAAATAAGCTTGCGACGCGAGTCCTCCGCTTCCGCCAGAGCACTGAAAAAGGGGATCATCCAGCTTTCCATGTCCTGGTGACCTTTGCAGAAAGCTCCATAGGCATCGCGCACTTCTGCGCGGGCACCGTTGCCTGTGTAGATCAGCATCTCCTTGCTGCGACAGATTCTTGCCGGATCGTAGCATTCAGCCTTAGGTGCCTTGTAGTTGCTGACGTTGGAGACAGATGTAGAAGGTTCACCTGCAGCATCGAACGGTGGCTGTGAGCGTAGACCCCAACAGCCAAGTTTTGCCGGATTCGTTTATGTTTCAGCGACACCTTCGATGAAGTTCAGACTATCTGCTGCGAACGGAAACATGCCATGTTCGCTATCCGGCAGTAAAAGAAAAGCCATCTAAGCCTGAAGCTCTGTGAACTAAGCTTACATCCTTGCACTGTGAGCTGAGTGGAGCGCGTGTATTCAAACTGCAGCTTGCATTCTGCCGGCCCCATCTTCACCGACTGCAACATGTCACGTCGCATGCTCTTGTGCCAAAAACTTGAAGCCCGAGGAATCTCGAGTACACCAGGCGACTCAGGTGGCTTAGCATGTATCCTATGTATCCTGTGCCCTCAGAAAGCTCCTTAGGTGAACAATCCGCGGGACTGCAGCAGGAAGGCAAGTAAGAGCAGAGGAGAATTGAGCACAAGTGCAGGCTTGTCACCGGTCCCGCCAACGACCTCAGCAACTCTCTTCGCCAGCTCGCCAGTAAGGAGGAGAAGTTCTGGATGGCAGCCGACTTCCATCCTTTGGGAGCTGATGAGATTCTTCACGAAGGTGGGGAGGGCCTGGGCATCCTCGTAGCGATCTGGCGGAAGCTCCTCGAGCTCCTTTCGGAAGTCTTCGGGCGACTTCTCGTGCAGTTCCGCCAAGGCATCTTCCAGCTTCTGCTTCAGCAGCTCCTTGTTCTCCTGTGCCCTAAACCCATTAAAAAAAAAGGCTCTAAGGTCCCTATGAGGCCTTCCCGAACCAAATGCTTAGAAGGAAAGTCCCACGAAGGGCTGGCCTTGGCCAGTTCCTCTTCTTTCACCTCCTGGAGCAAGGTGGCTTAGGGTTTAGGCTTTAGGCTTTATAGGGTTTTAGGGGGCAGGATGCTTTGGTTTTCACGGCCTCCAGGCAGAAGCCCAGGTTCTCCAGCAAGGTTCCGGCGAAGTTCAGGTTCAGCGGGCGTTCGCGCAAGAATCCACATTTGCTGATCGAGGCGACGAGCTCCTGCGCCTGAGTTTGCAAGAGTCCCTGACGCGGCCCACTGGCCCTCATCTGAACGATCGTAGCTGAGCCGCAGAACCTGAAGCTCCGCGTTTCTCCGAAGTCGTGGCCCACTGCAGCGTGGAGAAGGGGCCCATCGCGTCACAGTGCGCAAACGGCTCCGACGAGCCAACGTCACACAGCAAGGATGTGCTTTCCCTCGAGACTGAATCCAAAGAGCAGAAGGCTGGTTCCCAGCTACAATGGAGGCTAGATTCGACGAATCATCTACGTAAAGCTAGCAAAACAAATGATGATCAAAAGCACAAGACAAAGGGGCGGGCACTTTTGACTCTCTATATACAAAAAAGTCCGAGCATTCAAACCAAATTACGGCATTGCATTCATGGCTTTCATCGCCTTCATGGCCTGCATTGCCCTTTATGACTGTCCTGCATCTCAGAAGGAGAACTAGAAATTGAGTCGGATTGCTGAAAAGCGTGATGACTTCATTGCCGCCAAAGCTGAGTCGCGAAGAGGCCACCCTCTTTCAGCAAATTGGAAGCCTTGGGTCAATCCTGCAAGGCAGGGGTGCCATGGGCTAGGCTTTGGGACCTGTCGCATCCTTGGGTCAGCTGAAATGGCTCATAGGGCTTGTCGAATGAGTGGTTTACTTCTACACTTCTACATACTAGAACTCGCTGTGGCTACCAGCAAATCGGCCAATCAACGAGCCCGAGTCTCTCGGTCAGCCGTTTTGGAGATGGTCTAAGTCATGTCAGGAATTATGAAGCTATAAGCTGAGCCATCTCGCCCGGCACCTAGCACAAGTCTCATCTTCCCTCAACCCCGGAAAAACACAACTGTCTGCAGGGGGACACCCTAAACTCGGAAGATTAGCCTGAAGAGAATCAGGCTCTGATTCCTTCGGACGGGGAAACAAAAAGCTCCCAATCAAGCATACTCAGTGAAGATATTAGCAGACTCAAGTCCTGTGCAGCAGAATGCACAGTGGTGCGGTCGAATGCGGCAAGGCACCCTGCTCTGGCACAGGCTGGTTGCAAAATGCAAAGAGCAGGCATGTCCTTCTTCAAGAGAAGGCTGTGGACCTGCGGGTACTCCAGAACCTTCGGCACCAACTGCTGCGGTCGGCATTCAAGGACCGATTCATCACGACATCGCCTGGACAACTCCGCACTGTGCTCAGACGGTGACCTCGCCGTCAGGAATGTAGCGGAAGCAGAAAAGGCCGCTTCTCCAACGCTGAGTCCGGAGCTTGTAACCTGCAGTCACACTCAAGTTCCCTGGAGGAGCATCTATACAGTGCTGACCAAGCGATGGAAGTTGCATATGGCAGCTTCAGACACTCGGCTTTTCGGCATGAGCGTCTCTCACCGTTGAACGATGACTCGTCGGGGACAGAGCTCCGGCGCTGCGATTTTTTTCGCCTGTACAGTTAAAAGCATGTTTGAACTGAATCAGAATTGGTGCCTTCCTCTTCTCGCCAAACTGCACAGCTACTCTGTATGACTCAAGGGCCCTTATGGCAGCAGATATATACAACAGTTCACGCATGCATCTCATGACTGCGGTTCACAATCAAGC